CGTGGTCATCTGGCAGTCTCCGGCCACCTAAATTAGGACCCGGAGACTGCCAGATGACCCCGCTCGGAGCGCCGCACACCGGAGCAGCAGTGACGCGACGCTCGGCCAGGTAAGTAAGATGACACCTGGCGCTGACTCGAGTATAAGCCGAGGGGGGCACTTTTCAAAAAAATGGGCTGAAAATCTCGGCTTATACTCGAGTATATACGGTAATTTTTATTTTTTTTTACTTTTTTTTTTTTGCACCCACCTGCTGTCAATCAGCAGAGGAGGGACCTGAAGGAGAAAGTTTTCTGTATTCTCTGTCCATTTTACATGTATAAAGGACCCCTGGAGATGCACAAGGACAAAGTTCACCTCCTGGTATACCTCTGTTCTTGTTTTCATAGCCAACTGTTAGAGTATAAATGGCAAATATGGCGGTTGTGTATACAGGTGCTGCAAAAGGTATTTGATGCTTATTAATAGAACGTTTCCTTTGTTTGCATTGCCTTAGGTTCAGCAGTGTCAGGCACACTGTGAAGCCATGAAAAGCTGTGCTAAACAGAACTTCATGCTGATAGAACTGTCCTCGGCACAGGAGCAATTAGGTTGCTTTAAGGTTTAGGAACAATTGGCTTAACCTAGGAGCCAGCAGGCTTTTTTATGCAGGGTTCGCAATGTGGTATGCCACTCATTATGTGTTGCATTGAGGCAGCCTATTCATTTGACTGGGCTGCTTAATGCCCCAAAAAAGCTGTAGGCACAAACTTCATCCCTCTACCTACAGGGAGTGTGCATTATAAGAATAAAATGTATAACAGCACCATTGTTATATATAAATGATAAATCAATTTATTATATATACATTTTTATTTTTTTTCCCCAGTAGATGAAATTGGCAGCCCTTCCGATACTGGTAACAGTGGAGCAACAGGTTTCCACACAAATTCCAGCTCAAATGCTCGGAGTAATGGTAATAATAATTTATTGGTGTATTTTGTATGGAATAGATAAAATAAAATTGTATTCTGATACCTATATAACTTCTAGGGGTTTATAGCTGTGCAAATGCTTTCCGCATGACACTACCACCACTAAATGGCACTGAGGAGCATAGGAAATTCCTATGCACATCAGCGCCATATATACCTATTCTGCGCTCACCATCCTGAATCCGCTCTGCCCAGCCTGTCACTTTATGCTCCCCTTCTGCAGCTCACTCCCCCCTGCTGGGCGCCGGCTGCATACTCCGCTTTGAGTCCCCTCTGATCCCCACTGTCTCTGCCGATACAGGCTGTTTGCCTTACAATGGCGGCAATAAAAGGGTTACAGTGTATATAATCCCTAACAATGAACTTCTCCTATTTGCTCCCTTTTTTCTCTTGCATATATCATTGGAAGTGTTTTGTCTGTTTACTTCAAAAGCTGTCCTATTGATCTTGTCAGAAATTCAGAGCTTTTCTGTGCACATTTCCTGTGTTGTCTCAAGGAGCCTGATTAGTCCCCCAGTTCTCATCTCGAGGTTATAGATCATGTAGTCCTTATGTTGTAGATATGAGAAAAAGGGGCTTGATTTAATAGTCTAGTAAAAGACAACTGGGCAGGGCTGATACCACTCAGTCCTATAAAAAGCTGTGTGTTGTCAGCCCATAACAGGTCATTTCTGGCAGATCAACACATTTTTCTGTACTTGCAGGATCTTTAAAGGGATAAACATGAGGAAATGTGCTTGTATTGTAGAGATGTATGTTTGTTTTTTGTTTTTTAATCTTGCTGTGACATATAAGAAACATATATAGGCACATTATATATAACCAGATATTTTAACTACCTCCCGGCCGGCTGTTTATACACACAGCTTCCTGGATGTAACAGGCCGTGTATACACGGCCTGTTAGTCCCGCCCACCCGTGCGCGCCGGTAAGACACAAAATGTAAAAACCGGCAGCAATGCCTGTTAACATACAAGCGATCCACCGGCTATGGATCCGACACGCGCGGCACCTCTGGCAGTCGCCGGCCAGCTAAATTAGGACCTCACCTGGAGCTCCTCCCACTGGACCAGCGCTGACTCGCCGCTGCTCTCCCGCACCGAAGGTTAGTGAAAAAAAAACAACATAGCGCAAACATCGGGGCATTTTGACAAGTACAAGTACTTGTCAAAATGCCCTGTTTTTACAGGGGGTCGGGGGGGGCGCAAAAATGCACCTTAGGCAAGAATCCTAGCACCGGCCCTGGGTATGTGCCCCCCCCCTCCTGCCTATCCCGGGCTCCGCTGTGCCCGGTGCGAGCTTGGAACCAGCATAGTGCCTCTCTGACAGGGGATTAGAGGGAGGTCGGTACATGATCTCTCTCCGGTGTCAGAATGCAGAAGTGATGTATATTACATCACTTCCGCATTCTCGTGTCACTCTCCAGCTTCAGATGCTGGAGAGAAGCTGATGAAGCAGATCTTTGCTTCATCAGCTTCTTCAGGGGGGTCCTAGGTGACATTAGCGGTCTTGGAGACCCTTGATGTCTCCATAAAGAGGACCTGTCACATCTTTTGCTATCACATAGGGGGGTTTCTTAGCCCCCTCTGTGATGGCAATAAAGTTAAGTGGGGAAAAAAAATAGGAAAAAAAATTAACGTTTCCCCCACAAACATTTTTAAGTTACACATAAAAAAATAATAGTTTTTTTTTTTTAAAGTCCCCACCCCTACATACACGCATGTAAACATGCGTCAGATGCGCATACCTGCGAAAACGACGATTGCACCCATTATGCCACACGTTGCATATCGCCTCGAACGTCGCAGTGAGAGCAATAACTTTAGGGCCATCAATCACTGATGACACTAAACTGATGAGCTGTAAAAGCTTTTAAAACGTCGCCTATGGTCAATTTTGGGTATGCTAGTTTTTTGCGGGTGCGTGCAATTTTTAAGCTTGACATGTTTGGTGTCTATTTACCCGACGTGACCCCGTCTTTTATATTTTACCAAAAAATTGGTGTAATAATAAAAGTTTTATAACATAATGTAAAAAAAAAACAACTTTTTTTTCCCCAAAATTTTCAGTAATTTTTCCTAAATATAGTAAAAAAATAAAACCCCCAGTGGTGATTAAATACCACCATAAGAAAGCTCTATCTGTCCCCCAAAAAATGGTATAAAATTAATATCAGTACAGCGTTGTATGACGGAATAAATGTCAGTCAAAGTACCGCAGCGCTGAATACTTAAAAATGGCCTGGATGGGAAGGGGGTGTAAACACCTGGTCAGCAAGTGGTTAAAGTCATTTCATACGTATAATGTTGCAGGTTTTCAAAGTCAATTGGATTCTGATCATTCTATCTAAACAATATACTGCTTCTTTCTCAACAGTGAGTCCAGAGCAGGCAAGGCAAATGAGGGAAACAGGACTACATTTGCTACGCCGTGCACTGGCTGTCCTGCAGATCTTCGCAGTCAGCCAGTTTGGTTGTGGTACAGGACATGTGCAACACAACCTGTGGAAGCAGGATGAAAGCAACAGAGACTTCACTCCATTGATAAAGAAGCTTGAGGCTTCTGTAGAGAAAGTGAGGCAATTGGCAGTGCGGCAGCAGCCTGAGGAGCATGTTATCAGCTATGCCAGCATGCAGGAAATTGCTCTGGGAGGTAAAGATGAGCTAACAGTAGCTGTGAGGAAAGAGTTGGCAACCGCAATCCGAGATCTTCTGTCCCATGGTCTTTATGCTACATCTCAAGGAATGAGTTTGGTTCTTGCACCCATTGCCTGCCTCATTCCGGTTTTCTCCGCCTCTCCTCCCAACATGCACCCCTGGGAACTTTTTGTCAAATACTACAATGAGAAAAATGGAAAAGCATTTGTTGACTCTCCAGCCCGTAAGCTCTCACAGTCCTTTTCCCTCCCTGTTTCAGGAAGTACTAAGGTTACCCCGAAACAGAGCCTCCTCTCTGCCATCCACACAGTTTTAACAGAGCATGATCCTTTCAAACGGGGTGCAGACTCCGAGTTTAAGGCTCTGGTCTGCATGGCACTGAATGAACAACGTCTTGTCTCCTGGCTTAATTTGATCTGCAAATCTGGGGTGTTGATACAGTCTCACTACCAGCCCTGGAGTTACATGGCAAGCAGTGGCTTTGAAAGCGCTTTAAACATCCTCAGCCGACTCAGCATCCTGAAGTTCAACCTACCGGTGGATCTTGCCGTGCGACAATTGAAAAACATCAAGGATGCTTTTTGATGAGAGACCTAATGATCATCTCATTGTAAGAATATAACGCATCTGTGGCTGACTGGACTTCTGCATGGTTTTGCTTACCAAAAACAGTCTAGACATGCACAAAAAGCATCCATTCAGCTTTAAAATTTGCCAGTTAAGGGCGCAGATGGATGTCCAGCTCTGTTTCACCTAATGCAATTAAGAAGATACCTTTTATACAAAGCACCAAGCAAGGCCTCGTTAAATGGCTTTGCAAGAAAGGCTTATTCAAGAGGATCTCAGAAAAATACTATTCTATTTTGTTATGTACTTTATTAATATAGAGTGCTCACTGTTTTATGAAGAATATGCATTCAAATGCTGGACAAATCACGAGCCAGTTATCTGGAGCTACTGATACGTTGCTTTCTAAGAGAATCATTCTATTTTATTAAAGAGACCCCGTCACCATTCATTTCAACAAAGTCTTCTATGTGCATTTAATGTATTTTATGCATGGCATTTACCTGTACCTTGTGAAGACCTCTAAAAGCCCTGAGAGTGCTGCTGGGTGCCGCCCTCTTGGATGTGATGTCAGCAGCTCCCGCAGCTACATAAAAGGTTATGTAGTTAGGGGAGGGCTGGAAAAGCTTGGCCAGCACAGCAAATTATTAGACACTCTCTGAAGAGGAGAGTGCTGTATACAGGGAGAGGGGAGGATGTGCTAATGCTGGAATAGTCACATTTTGATGCTAGAGGAGGCACATTGCAAGTGGAAAAAAAGTGATTTATGGAAAGGAAATAAGATCACTGCAAGTAAGCATTTTTCTGTACTATTACTTGCAATGTTTTAGGTTGGTGACAGGGTCTCTTTAAATGAGGGGAGTCATGTTTTAAAATGGTATTTATTTTATTTTGACTGGTCTGTCTGCAGCAGTAAATTATGACATTCTCCTGCACCCTTGTGGCCATCCTATGGCTGTTTACCGGAAGAAGGTGCATGTGAAGTGGCTAGAGGAGAGCTGAACCCAAAATTGTAAGCAGGGTATAGGTAGCATGAATGTAAGCCTGGATTACACCTGCTTACGCCCAACCACCCATGCCTCTAGTATGTTTTGAAGACCTTCCCCAACTGGCTCCCAGATTTGTTTAATTGGCTTCTAATTACTGCATTATTCTGTTCACCCTCACAGATTCTTTAATTCTGCTATTATAGACACTTTGATACCTGGTGTGATGGGGTATTGTGGGTTTGCTGTAGTGGAAATTAGAAAAGCATTGGTTTTGCATCTGAGGATGCAGTTCATATTGTATCCCAGCAATGGTGTACAATGGGTAAGATAAGACCGTAAAATATGTTACAGAATACATGTTCTGCACTTAAAATTTGTTCACAAGTGCAGTGATCTGCGTTAATTTGCACAGATAAACCCATGCTCACCGCAAGAGCAAATAGAAAACAACTGTTTCTGTGTGCCCTGTTGCGTGTTGTGTTGCAGACACTTTTTTCAGCACCTCACCACATGAGTGCGCTGGTCACCGTAACTAACTGATCTGTGGTGCATAAACATGAAGTTTAAAAAAAAAAATGGCAGCAGTGACTTGTGTGGTAAAAATGCAAGGCACTGCCCCTCACTGCCGCTAGAGATCAGTCTGCATGCTAAAACGGTCCATTTGAGCATGTGGGCTGGTCGAAACTAGCCCACATGCTAAAATAGACCGTTTTACACCTGCTAAAAGTCTGGTAAAAGTCCTAATGTGTTTAATTTTTATGGTAGGGCATTCCACTACTTAACCTAATTTATATTCCCTGTGATTTTTTTTTTTTTTTAAAGAGACCATAAATCAAAGCCCAACTCAGACATTTTTTTTTTTTCTTTTTTAATCTTGTACATTAACATCTTCATGTTTTTCCTGCTTTGGGAGCTCTCTAAGCTCCTCTAAGAGCTCCTGTTATATACAGAGGGTAGCTGCACTTCCACCTGAACAGTGTCCACTGGCAGAACTACCAGGGTCGCAGCGGTCACATGTGTAGCTGGGCCTTGCCGTTCCGCCACTTCCGGAAAGGAAGAAGATGACATGGCTCCAGTAACCACCAAGGCGCCAACATTGCCTCCTGGGACTACACACATGCACTACCCCGTTAACTTCCAAGGCGCTGACATTGCCTCCTAGGACTACACACATGCACTACCCTGGTAACTGCTGAGGCACTGACATGGCCTCCTGGGACTAAACGCATACAATACCCCAGTTACCGCCATTGCCTCCTGGAGCTACACACATGCACTACTCTGGTAACTACTGAGGCACTGACATTGCCTCCTGGGACTACACACATGCACTACCCTGGTAACTGCTGAGGCACCGACATTGCCTCCTGGGACTAAACGCATACAATACCCCAGTTACCGCCAAGGTGCCGACATTGCCTCCTGGAACTACACACATGCACTACTCTGGTACCCACTGAGGCACTGACATTGCCTCCTGGGATTACAAACATGCACTACCGCGGTAACCGTCGAGGCACCGACATTTTTTGATGGTGGGGGCCCTTCATGGTTTCTTGAACTCGGGTCATGAGGTTTCTAGGTACGCCTCTGACAGGGTCTATGAACGCCAATATTTCCGGTATTGTGGCTCCGTCTCCCTCACTCTGCTGTACCATTCACAGTGCAGCATAGTGATGACATTTGTGCTATGCTTTGTGAATGGCACAGCACAGTAAGGAAGGCGGAAGCTCAACAACGGAACTGTTAGTGTTCATTAACGCCTATCCGATGTAGTGAGGAGTTAGTACGGCTCCTCGCTGTATAAAACAGGAGTTCTCAGGAGCTTAGAGAGCTCGTAAAGTAATAAAAACATGACGGTAGCAATGTGTCATTTACATATAAAAAGGTAACTTTAAAATAGCCGTGTCCTAAGTTGGGCTTTGAATGTAATGAAAGGCCAAAATACTGAGCAAAATGCTGCTCCAGTTGACTTTCACAGCTCTCCACATATTAGAAGACCTGCGGCGGGCATGTGGGCTCTGCTGAGGAATAGGATCAGAGATAATGTGACTTAGTACCTCCAGACATGTGGCCATCACTGTAGGAAACTTAGACCAGCATTTTCTCCAGGAAGCTGAGCATTGTCCACTTGTTAACATTTCAATATGCTGTAGGTCCACTTTAACCATATACATTTATTTATAACACTGTGATAGAAAAGAGCTGACGTTTTGTTTTTGGTGTATTGATACAAAGGACGAGGTTTAATTTGTTCTTTTTAACCCTGGTTCCTGTTCTTCAAAGCATGTTACTATGGTGGCATTAGGAGGTTAGGCTACGGAAGGCTGGTGTTCTCCTGTTAAGCTGGTAGAAAGTAAAGATATTTTTCTGTCCCCTTTTTTGCTTCTGTTTTGCTCTCTCGTGCAAGAAACATGGAGATTTAGAACACATTCTGGTCAGGAAAACCTTTAGATTGCCATAGTAGCATGCATATACCCTGGGACAAAAGTACACTGAAACCTTTAGAACTGAAAGTGGAATTTGTTATAATGGAGCTCTGGATAGGCCTTTCCTTTGCAAGTAGCATGTTCTCTTTAAGCCATTCTTTATTTCAGGTCAGTGCTGGACCAAAGGTAATCGCAAAGTAAACTGAAAACCAAATATAAATGTTTAACGTTTATCAGTGTGAGATGGAAAAATGTTCTCTATTGAACAACGTTTATCAAATGTCTATAGTAGATTGGGTAGATCTAATGTTTTGAGACATGGGTGTCAAATGTGGAGGCAGTGAGGCCTGGTTTACATGTATACACTTTGCCATGTTATTTCATATATGATCTCTATCAGGACGGATCTCACCCAGAACTAGGAGCCAGCACCACACACCCTGTAGATGGTTATATACAGGGTGTGCACTAAAAGAAAAGTAGGCCAGGTTGCATTTTTGTGCAGCGCTTTGTGACGTGCTACAGTGCATCACAACTTGCCGCCATGCATAGAGTTGAATGTGAAGTTAAATTAAGTTTTAGGGCCAGTTCACACCATATGCAGTTGTGATGCAGTCCGTTTATTTGACTGCTTCAGTCAAAATACATCACAATGTTTCCCTATGGGCTTTCTTGTGCTTTATTCACACTTCAATGGTGTGAATAAAGCACAAGAAAGCCCACAGGAAAGCATTGTGATGTATTTTGACTGCAGCGGTCAAATAAACGGACTGCATCACAACTGCATATGGTGTGAACAGGCCCTAAAAATAAAAAATCAAGCCCTGCAATGCATTTTATAATGAAGCATGTGTACAACACACACCAGCGGGCAAACATGTTTACTGTAACGCACGCTTGGTGATGTGAATGAGGCCTAAGAAGGTATCAGAGTTGCAAATCCGCTCTTTCAGTACATTAACAAAAGTCCAAATATAAATGTAAATACATTTTCTGGCATGTATGTATAGTTACAACATATTTTTTTTTCACCTCCTCTTACACTGGCCACCCATATTACACTAATAGAGAGAACCTTCGAGCCACCTCCATCACTCAGCATGGACCTCTGTGCCATTCCATAACAGAGCCTCATCCCTGGACAACCTGGCAAGCCATAGCACTGACACTCTCGGACAGTGCAGCAACCCCTGTCACAGCCATATGATGAGACAAGGGGAGCCCAGCCCTTCTCCTGCTTCTGGCCAAAGCTTGTAGAAGTGGAAATCAGTGAAGCCTGGTACACATTATGGGGCCACTGAGCAGGCACCGCTCCCTCTTACAGGCTCCTGGACCTGAATCCGGCTTTTCCATATTATACTATTGGGGGCATCCGCTACCTAGGTGGTACGGTGATGGCTGTGTTGGCAAATAGCCCTCAATGACCTGAGCAGCTTTTTTTCTCAGTTGCATTTTTGACCTGGCGACTGGGAATTATATATTTATAAAATGGCATGGAATTGCAGTTTTGCTCTGCCATTTTCAGTACAGCACTAGAGACAAACCCTTCCACCTCAAACAATAGATATAACGCTGTAAAAAAAAAAAAAAAAGAGTGTACTTGTGGTCAGTAGTAGCTGTGTCGCCTTCCTTCTCATTGGATTATGTACGAGGACAGAGACCCCCAACCTTGCTGCAGTTCTTTTCTACAGGCCATTGGTGTCATAACCTTGGGCCAATGGACATTCCCTCTAGAAACCCTCA